ACAGCGCATACTTCACGTCGTCCAGAAGAGCCCACATTGCAGCTGCCAGGATGCAACGTCTGCTGGACCTGCTGCCACCATGGTTGGATGAGTGGAGGATGGCCGTCAATGTTAGCAAGACGACCGCTCTACTCACTCGCCGCTATAGAAATCTACCACCACCGCTAACCCTCGGAGGCCAGGAGATCGCATATGAGAAGGCCGTGACCTACCTTGGATGTCGGATTGACAGGACGTTGCGTATGACTGCGCACGTCGACTCTGCTATACGCAAAGCTCGATGTGCGCGGGCAATGCTCCGCCCTGTCCTGACATCCAAGTTACCGACAAAGTCGAAGTTAACTATCTATAAAACATACATAAGACCCCTGCTAACATACGCTGCTCCGGCCTGGTATGCACTCCTGAGCGATCATCAGAAGCGGCGACTTCAGGCCCAGCAGAGTTTGTCATTACGAACCATAGTCGGAGCGGGTCGCTACGTCCGTAACGACGTTATAGCGGCCAACTTGAAGATGGAGAGCCTGCATGAATTCGTGGTCCGGCTGGCGCGCGGTATGTTTGACCGTGCCGACAACGGGCCACATGAACACCTCAACGGCTTCGCGCCGTTGCATGCAAGGCCGCCGGACGGGCGACCATATCCAAGAGAACTCCTCCCTATATAGATTAGGGAGTTGAGTAAAACCCACAATGCCGCAGAAAGGCCAACTCAGACATAATAATTTGTGATTAAACACAAATTATAGATTACCACCTTTAATGACAAAATTAACCAACTGCGACAAAAGTCGCCCAAACAACGCCTATAACATCTAGGCGCCCAGGACCGGCACACTGTAGTGTGCAGTGAGGAACATCCGGGCAAAGGGGTACACCCCGAGGCCCGAGACCTGCACGGCATTATGCCCTGCAGAGGACAGCAACGTTGCAATTCGTTCGGGAATCCTTCGGGAAAGTTCGGGAAAGGTGCAAGACCAGCAGTCAAATTTTTTTTTTTTTTTTTTATAGGATAGGGTGACAAACGAGCGCAGAGTCCACCTGATGGTAAGTGGTTACTGTGGCCCATAGACATCTATATCTATCCTCGATTACGAATCAAAATGCAGATGCGTTGTCACCCGTGAGGACTAAGATGGAATGCCTCGTTTCCAGTAAAAAGGGTCTCCGGTTCTCTACACTCACCATACGAAATACAGCAGCATCAAGCTACTATTTCACGCTGGTATTCTGTGAGAGCGTGGTCCTTCCACGGTCGAGCCGACCCATTCGTGCTACAACTATACTACTAATATAACTGCAGCATGGCTCTACCACGTAAAAAATAAGAAGAAGAAAGAAAAAGTGTAGGGAAGTGATAGGGAAAAGTAATTACTCTCTCACGGAACGGTTTGAAGATAATTGCTGTTTTATTCCCAAGGAATTCTTCCCTCAAAATAATACAGTCCACATCGAAGAATTAAGGCGTTGGGACCGGGACGACTTCAGAAGACCCGTAATCCCCGCCTGAACCTATTTTCTGAAAAGGAAGAGGTTATCGCCCTTGTGTGTTACTCCGTTGCGGAGATCACATACGTTGTTCCCGAACCCAACGTAGGCGTTATAGGAGGCCGGATCGAGAGAAGCCTCGATTCCCCCCTTCTGTTTCTTAGTTAACGTTTTGTCTGGTTCCTTTTCATATATATATTATAAATTTTAATCGAAAACAAATTATGAAGATATGATTGAATCAAAGTTTAATTTTGAAATTTAAACTAAAAATTAAATAATGAGTGCCATGACTTTAAAGTAATTTTAAAAACTTTGCAAGACCCTAAACTTTAATTTTAATCTAAAAAAAGTGGTGGTCAATGGTCCTTGTTTAGCCGTAATCAGCCTCTAATTGCACAGAGGCGAAAATTTTCAACATTATTATTTAAACACCTTATTTCTAAAAATAATTAGGTTCGCCATAGAAACTAATCAAATGAAATAAAATAAAATGAAATGTAAATCCTCGGGTTATGGATAGTACCACTTCAGTAAGTAGCACAGATGGGTCACAAAAAACAATGAATTTCCCCTCAATGTTAATGAGATAATGAATAATAATAGTAATAGGCAGGTAGACGGTTGCAGATCACAAAAAATACCACGTGTCGAACACAGGAAGCAGGAGTGAGAAATACTGTCTCGTGTGTAGCGCGCTCTCTCGCTCTGGCCATAGCTCGCGCGCATAAGGCGACAGGCGTAGCCTCAGTCATAGAGTGCCTCAGTTGTTCACAGCTATCGCTCGCGTAACTACTACTCCAGTTTTTGTTTTCGATACTTCCTAATTTACCACGACTGCTTGCTAACTGGATTCTGTTTCGCCTTATAACTCATTTGACTGTGCTTGTGTTTCGGACTTTGTGTATTGTGATTTGGATTTTTGTGTTGCAAAATGAGTTATTCTTTGAAGGAATGTGCAGAAATGCATTATTTTTACGGCGTTGCCCAAGGCAATGGCCATTTAGCGGCAAGGCTTTACCGAGAGAAACTAGAACGGCGAGGAGAAGAACGGGAACTTTATCCCGATCACAGAGTGTTCATAAATACACATAATACATTTATGGACGGACGAATTTCGGGACGCAGTTCCCACGAAGGAGTACCCAGAGTGGATCCAGATGTCAGAGATGAAGTCGTGGAACAAGTGCAAAGATATCCTTTTACTAGCACCAGAGCTATTACGAGAACGACTGGTGTACCACGAACCTCAGTTATAAGGATACTTAAGTCAGGTAAGTTCATTTTGTCTTTAAAACTTTTACTTTGACACCGTATTAAAGCGCACCTTTGAATAGCGACGAGCGATCAATTAATTTTAATTACTTAAGTCGGGCAAAAACCACATTTCATGGAATAAAAACAGTGATTCCCGGAAGTACAATTTCGTTTTTTTTTTTCAGAGGGATACCACGCTTATCATATTCAACGCGCCAAAAAATTGCATCCTGCAGATTATTCAAGACGGGTGACTTTTTGTCGAACAATGGTGAAAAGAACTGCGGAGGATCCAGGTTTTTTTTGATAAAATTCTGTGGACAGACGAGTTTAGATTTGAAAGAACAGGAGTCTTCAATATCCACAATTACCATAGTTGGGCTGTTGAAAACCCACACATGGCAAGGCCTTCAAATTTTCAAACACATTATAGTGTAAACTTGTGGTCAGAAATTTTGAACGGGGAACTTATAGGACCTTTTGAATTGCCTGCTAGGTTAAACGGAGCCCAATATTTAGACTTTTTACAAAACAATTTAAACGGCTTATTAGGCGATGTAAACTTATTGACAAGAAGGGATATGATTTACCAAAATGATGGTGCTCCTTGCCACTATGCAAGAGAGGTACGGGAGCACCTTAATCAAAGATTCCTCAATAGATGGATTGGGCGTGGCGGACCGATTCATTGGCCTGCACGTTCACCAGATTTGAACCCCATAGATTTCTTTCTCTGGGGATATTACAAAGAAATGGTGTACGCAAGCGAAACAAACACCGAAGCAGAACTGCGAGATAAATTAACGGAGGCGGAAACAAAAATCAGACCAAATTCAAATGCTTTTAGAAGACTGAAAAAAAATTTTCTAAGGCGTTGTAGAATGTATATTGAAGTGGAGGAGGGGCGTAATTTGAGAATTGGTTGTACAATTAAATAAGTATTAAAAAACCAAATTGTTTTATTTATTATGAAAGATTATGACATACCATGAAAATCTAATTATCCTTAGTAATAAACAATAGTTGCATAATAAAACGATTATTTTTGAACTTTTTGGCTCTCTGTGCAATTAAAGGCCGACTAGGGCTAAAAAAGGCCCATTGACCACCACTTTTTTGTATTGTAACTAAAGCGGTCTTGCGAAGTTTTTAAAATTACTTTAAAGTCATGGAACTCATTATTTAATTTTTAGTTTAAATTTCAAAATTAAACTTTGATTGATGGGCAATCATATCTGCATAATTTGTTTTCGATTAAAATTTTTGCAATTTGTATTAATGGTAGGCAGCTTATTTTTTTATGACAAGAAGAGTCCAACTCATGAAGACTACGCTAAGAATAAAAAAAAGTAGAAAAGAGGACAGAATTTTCAAGAAAAAAAATTTTTTAATCGCTAAGTCGACATTTTTCAAAATAATACAAAAAATCATATCTCGTAAACTAAGAAAAATCGCGGAACATACATGGGGTATTTTCATGTAGCCCGAAAGGTCAGCATTCCAAAAAACATTTTTGGACGTCACCTTTTGGACCACCCGTATATATATATATATATATATATATATATATATATATATATATATATATATTTCCATTGTATATGTACATACAAAACAGGGATTCAGTGTGGTGGGTTTTATCTGTGGAATTTTATTGCACCTTGCTTATTACGATACGTTTGTACGTGTTGCACTTGGTATAAGCAAGAATAAGGTTTCATTGTCTATTTCATTTCACCGTTACAAGAGAAAAGAATCAAAATTGCTTACGAATGTTGTAACTAACTTAGCTTCACATTATAAATGATATGTTGTATAATTACTCATAATTTTATGTCGGGTAGGGCAGAAAATTTGTCGTAATTTTCGGGAGAATTTGTAAGCCACACTGAGCAAGCAGGAGACCTAATGTATAATTACCAGTCTACCTGCTAAGTAACTCAATAGTCTAGATTAATTTTTGAAAGTTTATGTGGAAATGGTTGATTTTGTTGCAATTTCTTTCCTGAAGACTACTGTAATTATATCGATAGAACGATTCGAATAGATTTTCTTATTTTCACAACTGAAATTCCGTAGCTAGAACTAAAGCTGTAAATTTACTTTTTATTTAAAAAACACTACCAAAAATGTTATGTTCAATTGTTGAAGGTATACATATAATAATGAATGATAATATTACTGCCTGTTTGCTGAAATAAAAATAACCGTTAATAAGTTTAAATATTTAGAATTACAAAACTTTTAATACCTACGCAATTTTGCGTTCTTTTTCCCTTTTGAAGGTAAATTTTTGATATTTTCATCTTTTTCCGTGAGTGCTACCACTTTGTTATCAAGTATTTTACTCTCTGTAGCCAAATTCTTTTCATTTGTAACAGATTCCTTTTTATCCGCTAATACCCCATAATCGCTATATGCTTGCGCCAACTTATCATATTTATTGTTTAGATAATCTTCTATATATTCGTTATTAGTAATTTGACTTTCGAGTTTTTCTTTTTGAGCTAACATTTCTTCTAAGTCTTCAGATCCTTCATTCTTAGGATTGTGCACTACGGCGTGTTTTATTAAATTTAATTCATCAGGGTATAAGGGCATCGGACCCTTCCAGTTTGGATTATGAACCGATGGTATATCATTTTGATTAGACTTTTGTTTACCTGGTATTACTACATTCTGGAAAATTAAAAAAAATATTTTAAGCGTTAAATAATAATAGCCAAAGAATATGAAAAAATAAATACTTTTTAAAATTTATCACAATGAAAAATGGAATTTACATTAGAACAAAAGGTTTTAAGGGAGTAAATTGCAAGCTTATTTCATAAACTGGAGTAAACGTCTCACCACAGACCATCTTAATCCTTAATCATTATTAATTACTGCCATCCATTATTAACTGCCAGCTCATGATGTACCTTGAAGAGCATCAGCTGATTAATGAACGCCACTACGGTTTCCGTCAAGGTCGCTCAGCTAGTGATCTTCTTGGTTATCTTCTAGGTTATCTAACACCGATTGGTGCTTGCGCTTAAGTCCAAGGGGGATGCCTTGGCGGTTAGGTTTGGCATAACAAAGGGCTTCGATGGGGTTTGGTACAAAGCGCTTCTTTCGAAGCTTCCTTCCTATGGGCTTGCCGAGAAATTGTGCAATTGGATCAAGAGTTTTCTGGCTCAACAGAGCATCAATATAGTAGTAGACGCTGCATGCTCGGATTACAAGCCAATTAACTGTGGTGTTTCACAAGGCTGCATGCTAACACCAACGCTGTCTCTTTTGCATATCAATGATATGTTGCAAACCGGTAACATTCATTGCTATGCGGACGACAGCACTGATGATGCTTTATATACCGGCCGTGACCATATTTCATGGGAAAACGTTACCCAGTAAAAACAAACTTGTGTCTGAAGTAGAGACTTTGTCAAAAAAAATCTCGCATTGGGAGAGACAAAATCTAGTCTAGTTCAATCCCCAGGAGACACAAGTTTGCACGTTTACCTCAACAAAAAAACCTTTTTGTCGTATCTCGTCAGTTTCAAGGCACTGCCATTGATGCCTCAGCCAGTATCGGAATAAAGCATCGACATATCGAATGTCGTGCAGTTTCGTGGTGACTTGGCCAAATTGGCCTTTAATAAGCTTGGCATTCTCAGCAGAGTGCAAATTTTACACAACGCAGGTTTGGCCTCACGTGGAATACTGTTCCCATCTCTGGGCTGGGGCACTCAGTGTCTGCTCCTTCTATTTACATCCAGTGCGGAGCGGTTCGAATCGTCGGCGACTGAATTTCTTCCGATCGGCTTGACTCACTGGCGCTGCGAAAATATGTTGCATCTCTTTGCATATTCTATCGTATCTATCTCTGAGGTATTGTTCAGACAAATTCAGTCCAGCCGTTCAATTTCACTATCGCACATCGCGACAAAACTCGAAATCTTATAGTATCACTGTCTAGATTTAAACGATGGTATTTTAAACATTCCAAAAAAGATGTATTTCAATTATCGTAATAAAGTGTTATTGTGATTGTAACTGTACGAAATATGTATGTAATTATTATAAGTTAGGAAATTTTACACTTATTTTGGTAAAATTTTACACCAATTAACACACTGAGCTTTTGATTAGTTAAAATATAAATTTTTCAACGATACCTCGAAAAACTTGTAAAGTAAAACATTATTGAAGTCAGAAAGTTTATTTGATTCTATTCATTGATCTGCAGTAAATGTTAACGTTTTTAGGTGGTTCACACAAAGCTGTAGTTGCAGCCTAGTTAGCTACAAGTCACAGTTAGGACTTGATCCATGCACGGAAAAAGGGTATTGTGTACTAATAAGTACTATAAGCGATTATTTCTGAGTGGGATTCTTGTGAAATTTATGTGTAAAACTAATAAACCCATCTGCCGTGTACCTATACCGTCCCGTGGACTTTTTAAAAGGCGAAAGAGGGAAACAAATCAAGAGATGGGCAGGGGCGACACCCTAATAAAAATATAAAAAAAACAATAACAAATATACCATGATAAAGAAATCTAGGGGGAGGCCTGTATCCAACTGTGGACTATGTTAGGCTGTAATGAAGAATAGGAGAAATTCCTACAGTAAGTGTAATGCTTTTTTTAAAAGTAAAGTCGTAGATCACATACGTCCGATCTCCTGTCTCTTTCAACTTGCTTATCTATCTCGTCATGAGTGTCCATATAATCAGATAAAACTTCCTTGAAGTCTTCGTATCCAAGATTTTCATTATCTTCTTCATTGAATTGAAGTAGTTTACGCTTGCTTTGATGTGTTCCCGCGTCATCCGTTAAAACATTTATGCTTTCGGTGCTTTCGGAATTTCTTAAAAAATAGATAATATTAAAAGTTGATTAATATATAAAATAAATGGAACTGCTTACTATGGTCCAAAATTAAGTAAGTTTAGTAACCAAGTGTTTTTCGTATCAAGTTTTATAAAATTTTTGGGCGATTCCTAAATATGTAAAAATCGTTGTAGCTCGAGTACAACTATGCTTGACAGCATGTGGTAAAGCCCTACTAGTATTATGGTTGCAGCATTAACGAGTTGGCTCGACCGGGATAGAACTACGTCCGCATAGAATATCAAATAGTATAATCCTCCTGTGCTTCTTAACAGCGATGACTAAAAACTATGCATTTATTTTAGTACTCAGAGCGTATTATTGGAATTCATATGTCCATGAAATATTTGTCGACATGCAAGGTTTCTTAGGAAGCTTTCCTTTGATGCCGATCAGCTGGTAATTCAGCTGACTAGCACTTCAAATTGCAATTAATAATTTTAGTTAAGCTTACGAAGATCAAGATTCTTATTTACCATGACTGCCTTAACTACCACGGCATTTGGAGAACTCCACACTTACATACCTATACAAATAAATAAAATTGAAGTCTCTCTATACTGTCAAAATAACAGCTTTTTAGTAAATGCATATGAAAGTATATACGATATATATTACAAAAAAAATTTAAATTTTTGAGTGTCTGTTTGTTTCGTCTTATGTCCAAAACGTCTTGGCCGATTTTGACAAACCTTTCACTGAAAGATAGCTGATATTATAAAGAGTGACTTAAGCTACTCTTATTTAAAGAAATAAAAGAGTTCCGCGAAAAAACAACAACCCATAAAAAACATTTGTAATAACTTCCACGCCGACGAAGTGGAACAGCTAGTTATTAACATAAATTTAGAAAAGGATATGATTTATAATGTAATAATACATACATTAATGTCGATACACTTAAGACAATATCGTAGAGTGGGGTAGTTGATAGAAAAGCATATCCATACCCCTTTTTATCTTCATATTTATGCGGTGGTTCTTTGTCAATCAAACCTGACTTTGAATCGTAACCAATGCTCCTTCTCTTAAATTCTGTTGACTTCGAAATAGTTTCAGAGACTGTTGTCTTCGTTGCTCTTGCAGAAACTTGTTTTTGTACTTCTTGATCATTTTTGGCAGTAACCGCTTCGTCTTGTTTAGAATGTTTACATTTGTCTTTCCTACTCACTAAAACGTCTAACTCAAAAGGGTTTGCTATGATTGTATCCATATTTTTATCTAGCAGTTGATCCAAAAGTTCGTCCAATCGCTGCGAATTCTTGTAGAATGGATGCTTTAGTTGCTTTTCGTGCGATTTTGACTCTTTCGGAGAATGTGAACATTTAGGAAAATTTCGTTTTCGGTCAAATGGACCATATTGAACCATGACCTTTTTCTTTTCTATGACAATACCAGAAGGCTCATCGTCATATACTTCTCCTTCAGCTCTTTTTATTCTTGTTGGTGTGCTTACTTCTTTGTATTCTTTTAAGGCAACAAACGGTGGGTAAAATAAATTAAATTTATTTAAATCTATTTTATCACTATAGTCAGATTCTCGTCTTTCCGGAGGACTATATAATGGACTGTTTATTGACATCAACGATCTTTTGTACCTGTCTGAAATGGGTTTCATACTAATGTCACCAGCAGAGCTGTAAACATTTAATTCTTCCGTTTCTTTTTTTAATTTTTTAATTCGAGCATCTGTTTGAATGAGTCTATTATAAAAGTCTGCAAAATAAATTAAGAATAATGTTGTGATAAAGATTGCTTATACACATTTATTTAGAGGTTATAAGTACAAATATGTTTTGGGATTACAGTACGCAACAGTTCGATATGGCAATCGGGGTATGAGTTGAGGCGCGAGGGATTGGACACCTCGCATATCCATCACCATTTTCCATCATCACTTTGCCATCATAGTCTTAGCGCTACACGAGTCTGCACCGACCGAGTTTATCGATTTTAATCTCGTTAACATTGTTCATTGTTGATGTTTATTAAAATGACTTCGGTCGCTTCCTCGTCACGTGTTTAAACAAAAAAAAAAATTATTCTCAAGACGAGAACTAGCCAGAAAAGTAAAAGGAAATTGTGACATTAAATGGAAAACCAGTTACTATAAATACCCTGTCAATCAGGTATAGCCCTACCCAATATTATCAGGTATAATATTGGATAGGGCTGCGTTTTACACTAGCTTATCGAAAAGAACTTTGTTTAGAATAAAATCCGAATCAAAATTAGCAGGACCCGATAAACAATTAAAATTGCCCACAATATCGAAGAAGACAGGCCAAAAATTTTGTGTAGACAATTTTGATCGTACAGTGATTAGAAAGTTCATAATACTAATAGATTTATTTACAAAAGACATGTCCCAAGCTACTTGCAAAAAATAGCTTTTCCTTGGGTTGTTTGTAAGGTTCAATAGCTGTTAAAAATGGTCTACAGGAGGCGTCAGTGTCAAACCAAACGATTTATTTTAATTGAAAAGCCAAATTCAAATGTTGTCAATATTTAAAGAAAATTTGAGAATTCCAACAACATAACAGAAATATTTTTTATTTGGATGAAACGTGAGTGGACGATAAAATATCTTTCAAAAAGTGTTGGCAAACAATTGGATCAAAAGGAATTCTCACAGACACTATCAAATAGACTCATAATAATCAGCACAGGAGGCAAAACGATTTTCTACCGGGGGTTTCGTTGATAATTAAGACCGGTACTACTACCGGCGATTATCATGGACCAATGAATGGCGAAAATTTTGAGCAATGGATAGTCGAAAAGCTTTTGCCTTCACTTCATGACCACAGTGTCCTGGTAATGGACAGCGCACCTTACCACTGTGTACAGCTAAATAAGACCCTTACAAAAAGTTTGCTAAAATCCGCAATGACAAAATGGTTGGAGGATAATAACATTTTTTGCAACATGAGGAAACCCGATTTATTTGATATTATGGAACAATACAGACCGTTGATATCAATTATAAAATGGTTGGAGGATAATAACATTTTTTGCAACATGAGGAAACCCGATTTATTTGAAATTATGGAACAATACAGACCGTTGATATCAATTATAAAATGGTTGGAGGATAATAACATTTTTTGCAACATGAGGAAACCCGATTTATTTGAAATTATGGAACAATACAGACCGTTGATATCAATTATAAAATGGTTGGAGGATAATAGCATTTTTTGCAACATGAGGAAACCCGATTTATTTGAAATTATGGAACAATACAGACCGTTGATATCAATTATAAAATGGTTGGAGGATAATAACATTTTTTGCAACATGAGGAAACCCGATTTATTTGAAATTATGGAACAATACAGACCGTTGATATCAATTATAAAATGGCCGGAGGATAATAACATTTTTTGCAACATGAGGAAACCCGATTTATTTGAAATTATGGAACAATACAGACCGTTGATATCAATTATAAAATGGCTGGAGGATAGTAACATTTTTTGCAACATGAGGAAACTCGATTTATTTGAAATTATGGAACAATACAGACCGTTGATATCAATTATAAAATGGTTGGAGGATAATAACATTTTTGCAACATGAGGAAACCCGATTTATTTGTAATTATGGAACAATACAGACCGTTGATATCAATTGTAAAATGGTTGGAGGATAATAGCATTTATTACAACATGAGGAAACACGATTTATTTAAAATTATAGAACAATACAGACCGTTGATATCAATTATAAAATTGACAATATAAATATATAATATGTGGGTTTTAAAACTCATTGAATTAGCCTGGGCCGCTATTAAACGCTTCGAAAGTGAACGCAAAATAAAGAACGATTTGTGTTTGACGAAACTGAAAGAGGTAACAACGAATTTCGACAATTACGGCAGAAAACTGTGAAAATACTATTTAAAAACATGTTCAGAAACTGGAAAATTAATACTGGGAGAAGTTTATAGGAATGGAAAGCGTAATGGAAGGTTTTATCGTAGAAGTCAGAGAAACTAGTGATGAAGAGTCATTAAGTACTTGTAGTGCTGATAGTATGAATTAATTTGTTATTGATCGTGATGCATAAAATATTATTATAAAATATTTTTTCATTTTACTTATAATAAAACTTATTTAATTAATTTTATTTCTATTTTGTTGCATTGCAAAAAAAATCGATATAAACTACCTGGTACGTGATGCCACATCACGAGAAAATTGCCATGTTGACCTGTCACGTACTGTTTATAGAATATCAGGGTTCGTACTTTTCACACTAAGTGGTTCGATCGCTAAAACCAAACTAATTGGTAATTGCAATTTTAGGTGATAAGTTGCCGCGTGCTCGACGGTAAAGGAAAATATCGTGAAGAAACCCACATGTCTGAGGTATAAAAATATTTCCGCCAACACGTCCTGAAGTAACGCTACGAGACCCAGCAGTAAGAGTTGACTTGTAGAGAATACAATAAGACATTAAATCCGTCATTTGTAACATCTAGTACAGGTTGTTCATTTTAATAATTATTTAAATTATTCATTTTAATTAATAATTAAAATATATATAAACTAGACTAGCATATAGGATATAACTTCTATTACTAGCACACGCTAATGCGATCATATCAGTTTTCATAATAGTTAGTCAGTCAGTTAAAGAAATTGCCTAGGGCTATGATCAGTTTTCTCTGTACGATTAACTTCGTAATTAGGATATTCGCAGTAGAACCAGTGGAACCGACAAATTTCAATAGATTATTAAGCTGAAGTGGCAATTGGCCGGCCAAATATATATATATGGCTGGCCATTACGCTTACTTGTACCTCTATGACCCGACAACCAATGGAAGAATAAAGATTTTCGATTTTTGGCATTGGCAGTCTAGTGTCGACTCAAACAAAATGAAGTGACGACCTAGTAAGAGATGTAGTAAGTCAATGTCTGCAGGGGGCTCGGGACCGTGCTTTGAGGTTATTACTTGGGAGAGGCCTATGATCAGCCAGTGGACTTGTGAAGTACTCTAATGATAAATAATGATGAACTTCAGTCTATTGTGTAAATGTATTTTTATTGATTTTCAACCAATGTGGATGCAGAAGTCCTCATGGCCTTCTAATAGTTCATTTACTAACCACATGTGGAGGATGTTTTTGATTGTTGTTCATTTTCTAAAACAATATTATTTGTCTTACCGCGTAGTTTTTCGCTAGTTTGACTGTCGGTAATTTTTCCTGGATCAAGGATATGGGACAACGTTCCAGAGAGTCTGCTTCCGGATTCATCAGGATAGTTCTAAAACAAGAGAGAAAAAATTACTTAAGTATTTAGATATTTTTAGAAGCAAGTATACGGTAAATGGCAACAGAGGGAAACAAATTAGTATGAGCAGCTGCGTCTTTTCTAATAACGACAAAAAAAATTACGGGTGCCAACCCGTTTGCGAAGCTTGGCAACTATGGAAAATATCCCCTTTTGAGGCAATTTCTGGGGGAGGGGTATGTTCAGCAGTAGACTTGGATAGGCTGTAATGGTAAGTATACCTTAAAGTAAAAGCAACTTAACTGTACACATACTTTCGGATATACTGTTCTCTGTATTATATAACTTGAGTAATAGAATTTTTTTGAAATTCAATTGTAAAGAGAAATATTTTACGTGAGCAGGTTCGGATCTAAAGTTAATGCTAAATGGGCTCTAATAGAGTGATTTTTTCAGTAAGTGATTCGGCTATTCTAGATTAACAGTCGAAATGGAAAGAGTCTCTGAAGACTAAGATTGATTTTTTTTTATAGAAAACTGGTAAAACGAGCTGTTTGATGGTGTCAGCCGCCGCCTATGAATAACACCAGGGGTATTGCTGGTGTGTTGACGGCCTTTTAAAAAGGGGTAAGCTCGTTTTCTGAAGGTCCATAAGTCGTATTGGTCCGGAAAAATCGCCGGTGGTAAACGATTCCACAAAGAAGGCACAGTATTGGACCGCCAAGCATCCAGATAATGTGGATGGTAACGTAATATTCGTTGCGATGGTCGTTCGTGAAATTTGGCGACTGGGATTAATCTGAACAATTCTTTAAAGCACACTCCGTGGTAAATGCGATAGAAAATACTACCTTGTTACAAGTAAGTCTCTGGATCCCGTCATTCAGGACAGGTAGTAAAGCAGCATTACGCTACTATTTCATGCTGGTATTCTGTAAAAGTATGGTCCTTCCCTGTCGAGCTGACCCATTTCTTCTACAGCTATAACATGCTGCAGAGCTGATGCACCAGGTAATATCATTTACAGCACAGCAGCATTTTAATAATGAATTATATTTTTTCTGTTATTTTTTCGTGTAAGGATAGGAATTGCAACCACAATTAACAAACTAAAGAGGAAAGACATATAATAATGAGTCTATAAAACTTTATCAACAATTAAAATACAGTCAGCTAGAAAGACCTTTTTCTCGGAAATTAAAACAACTAATTATTTAACACTCAAATGCGCATATAACTCTTGCGGGCCGTTCAGGCCCACCTGGGCACTTTTAAATAACCACTCAGGACATATTTATTGTGAAGGGTTAATATACCAAAATGGCGACAAAATGGGCCTTTTAAGTACCGAGTTAATGGTGTCGTTGGACCATTCTTTATGAGGTCCACACGGAGTCTTTTATATTACAGATATACTTACTTAGTGTTATAGAGTCGTGGTATCTCAGATAGCACTCGCTGTAAATTTCACAGTACGCGAGCAAACCGGGTTCGATCTCCGCCGGTACCAATGATATTGTTAATTGCAATTTTAAGTGCTGATTTACCACGTGCTCGGCGCAGATGGAAAACATCGCGAGGAAGTCTGCATGTCTGAGAAATAAGAAAAATAAATCGAAGACATGTAAAGTTTGCCAACGCGCATCGGGGCAGCGGGACGGACACTTCCTTGCTCTAATACTCACAGAAATGAGGGGAGGCCTGTGCCCAGCAGCGGGACGTATATAGGCTGTAACTTTTAATAAATTTATTTTTTAAAATATTATAATATTATTTATCTTTTAAATAAAAATTAAAATAAAATCTTTATTTTTTTTTGGTGTAGGGAAAAAAATTTTTTTTTTTTTTTTTTTTTTTTTTAAAAAAAATTTTTTTTAATATTTTTATAATTTTATTTTTTTAAAAGGGGGGGGGTTGTGGGCTTTGTAACATTTTTTTTTTTTTTTTAAATTTACTTAGTGTTAACTTTAAATCGTTATTATTATATAATAAATGGTTACTGTTATGCATAATGCCGGTACACATATACCTAAAGGCTAAGTCACAGATCGATTGAGCTCGACATCAATTTTCACTTTTTGAATGTGTAGGTTATCGGACTATGGGGTGGCCGGCGCTAGTGAGGTCGTAGATGTGTGCGAAAGCGTTACCGCCAATATGTAATGAAAATGGAACACAATGAGGATTTAGTCGATGCAAGGCCGTCATACACCGTCTTGGCCCCTCTAGGCGGGTATTCGTCGGCAATTTCAGTGGTCACTATCAGCGCAATCGACAGGTCCCGTGATCTCCGTTTGATACGTAACCGGGACATCTCCATTGCTATGCTAGTTTAGCATACATATGTACCGAGGACAGTATTACCCCCAGCACGCTTACACGGCTAACGTGGTGACTTGAGAAATAAGTGCAACAACACAACATTTCATAATGTAGGGGTAACATTTGAAAAAGCACATGTTTGTATTAATGTGTAAATTATTTATTATACAGTCGTCTCGGATAACTTGGTTTAGCAAACGTTGACCCGGAAGTTTCACAATTAAAGCGCGAGCTGCAAACACATCGATAACGTATAAACGTACCGTTTCATGTTAAGGAGAAGTTTTACTAATTGATAGGAATCCTTTTATGCCTAAGAGAGTAGGTCGGGATTATAATGCACAAGATTGCACACAAGCAGAGGTGCGCTCTCTATTCTCTGAATCTCATAGTACAATGTTCAAATCTCATGGTAGAATTCCGACACTTTCAGAGAAAGGTCAAGCGCAAGATAAACGGCTATACGTGCTTTTTGAGGCACGGGGGTAGAGGATTTAGGAGGTTCCGCCCTGACTTTGGGCTTTGACGGTACCACATGACCAGTAGTCACGCTTACGAATACAATACCAACGAGGCAGTCACATTTCTTCATCACTCCACTGCTGAAGAAAGGCCTCACCCAAGTAAGCGATAAAATAGGTCCCGAGCCATCCGCATTTGTCGATAGTAATATAACCATTTCGTATTTTTCATTAAAGTGGCGGGAGATTTTGCCATAGCTGCTACTCTTTTCAAGCGAGTTCGCAGTCGCAGTTTTTTTATAAATTATTATTTTGAATCGCTCTCAGGAACATTCTGCTGCCCATCACCTGGTTTAATTTCCCTCTGTAGCCTATTACGACACCCATGGGACGATGTGGAGTAAAGTACGTGAGGGTCATATGGTCACTTCATATGGTCAAGCTTTGCCACCCTATAAAACTAAAACTAAGAGAAGGACAGAGACGAAAAATCAAAGCTATATACTATAACTAATATATTAGGAAAACAATAGCAAAGAATCTTTGTCAATAATAATTAGAAACACTTCGAAAAATCAACTACACAACACAATACTAAAATCGATAAATTTTTTACTATAATTTCAACATGACGTCGATAAAGCAGCGCCCTTTTGACCCTTTATTATTTGATTGACTGATGTAGAGCTATCGTATCAAAAAGCCATCTATGCAAACACGGCTATAGATTTTGAGTTATAAGAAAGTGAGCATGTTAACCGGATGACCATATTGGCCTCACGTAATGTAGTAGATATTCCTACTTTCATTACATTATTAGAGTGTAGTCACGTCCGTATGCAAAATACATAAAATAAAAAGTAATTAAAGTACGAATACGGTAGTATTTTACTAGAAGTTAAATAATCATAGACAGACGTAAGGAAGAGTGCGAAACATCTGATACTATCATCGCCAATCAATATACCAATTGGTGATCATGGTACGGCTTGAAAAACAAATAGTCCCACTGGGATTCTTGCTGGTTCTTCCCAGGACAGAGGTTTTTTTGCGAACCAGTGGTAAATGAAAAAAGTGACTTTAAATAAGTATTGTTATATGTTATATCTGTTTCTGTTTCTGGTAAATTCTCTCTGAGATGTGAGTCGCGGATTGTTTTTGAGCCGATTAGAAGAAAGAGGGTAAGAGATGCTCTCTTCCTTCCTATGCGTGGTAGAGCCACGCTGCAGCTATATTATGGTTGTAGCACGAGTGGGTCGTCACGACCGGGGAAGGACCATTCTCTCACAGAATACCAGCGTAAAACAGCAGCTTAATACTGCTGTGTTTCGTATGGTGAGTGTAGAGATCCTGAGACCATTTTTACAGGAAACGAGGCATTCCACCTTATTCCTCAGAAGTGTCAACGCATCTGCATTTTGATTCTTAATCGAGGATAAATGTAGATGTCTATAAGCCACAGCATCCACTTACCATCAGGTGGACTGTGTGCTCGCTTATCACCCTTATTCTATAAGAACAAAGAAAAACACAGATTTTACCATGTTACTAATACTGTTTTTTATATGTGGAAGAGCCATGCTGTAATGTAAAAATCGATCGGGTCGACCAGGGAGCAACCTCGATCTCACAGAATATAACGTAAAATAGTAACTTTAAGCTTCTGTGTTTCGCATGGTGAGCTTAGAGAAACAGAGACCTTCTTTCTGCAAACAAGGTGTTCTATCTTAGCACTCGGGGTGACAACGCACAGTTAAGAATCAAAATGTAGATATTTTGATTCCTGACTGTGCTCGTTTGTCATCCTTATTCTATAAAACAAAACGACTGTATAGAACTTCCCCTTAACACACAACGCGAAATTAAGCCGTCGTTAATAACACGTGACGTACGTGAGGCGTTAAATTATTTTCCCACCTCTTCTTTGCTCATAAGTCGGAAAGAGATGACTGTAGTGTAACGAGGAACAAATTGGGTGACTTTCAAGCACCATTATAAAGTTCGATTCCGACTGCTTGTGCCACAAACTTAAAATATGGACAATAATAAGCAATAATTATGTCAAAGTTATTAAGTTAATTACTGGTCATTCCGCTATTGAAGGACCTAACGCGTTTTATTAGACGGTCACAAGTTATTTCAAACTATATTAATTAAAGATTTGCCGCTTGCACATGTCACGACATGATTGGTCGCAAACGGTTAACTTCGCTATTTTATATTAAACTAGTGCTTCGACCCGGGTGCAAGACAAAAGTAAAATTACAGCCTATATACGCGTCCCACTGCTGGGCACAGGCCTCCGCTCATTTCTGAGAGGGTTTTAGGGCAAGGAATTATCCGCCGCGGTGCCCCAATGCGTGTTGACGAACTTCACATGTCTTCGAAATATTTTTTTTCTTATTTCTCTGACATGCGAGTTTCCCCACGATGTTTTCCTTCACCGGCGAGCACGTGGTAAATCAGCACTTAAAATTGCAATTAACAATTTCATTGGTGCCGGCGGGGTTCGAACCCGGGTTGCTCGCGTACTGTGAAATTTACAGCGAGCGTTAATCATCTGAGCTACCACGGTTCTTAACGATCCAGGGACTCAAACATACAAAAATTTTCATAAGAATCGGTCGAGCCAATTCCGAGTTTCAGGGAGATTAACGGATAGCAATTGATTTATGTATGTAGAGGTTAAGGTAACAATCGAACTTATAGTTCACTTAAAGACACGTAGTCCATGGACATTGGACATCTGTAACCAAATTAAAACAAACAAGGCTTAATATGTGTTGTCACCTCTGAGAACTAAGATGTATGCTTCACTGCCTGTTGTCTGAGATACATCGCTTTTGGTGGCTGGACCGAGCAATGTTGATGCTGAAAAATGTCGACGGAAAATTGAACAGAAGACCAAAGAGTACAATCTGCCACTTTGTCTTGCGTATGTGGACTATGATAAAGCGTCTGATTCCGTCGAAATTTGGGCGGTGCTACAATCTCTTCAGCGGTGATAAGTTGACCGTCGGTATATCGAAGTGCTAATGTGTTTGTACAGTAGGGCTACGATGGCTATCCGAGTACGGAACCAAAGTACGAAACCTATCCAACTGCAGAGAGGTGTAAGGCAGGGTGACGTTATATCCACGAAACTCTTCACCGATGCATTGGAAGACGTTTTCAAGCTACTGGACTAGAAAGGATACGGTATTAACGTCAATGGCGAGTACTTTGGTAAAGTACTCGCCACTGACGTTAGTAAAATTGAGTACCTTTGATTTGCCGACGATATAGTTCTTATGGCAGAATCGCTAGAGTACCTAAGCACTATGCTCGATGACCTCAATAGTGTCTCCCAACGCCTATCATCTTAAGACGAACATAGATATAATAAAGATCACGTGTAACGTCCATGTGGCTGGACAGACCAATGTTAAAACGACATTTATTATCACAGGCAAGAGAAGTTTTTAAATATATAAATATATTGTATAAGAGTACACACATCTACTTCTAATTCTTTCAATTATCTTTCAGTAGGCCTGGAAGAAATTTCAAGATGCTATAAGCAGTGTTTTTGTACGTTCTTTCTTCTATATACATTATCATCATTGCAGCCCTTCCATGTCCACTATGTCCACACACTATGTCCACTGGTAAACATAGGCCAAGTAATGTTGCAAAAGGACCCTATAAGTTAGAAAAAAAAGTGTAATTTATCGTTTCGCAAAAGACTACACAGGTTCGCAAAATATTACATTTGCTAAATATCAGTTTAAAACTTTTCAAATTACTAATGAATTTTATGTACATTTATTTTCGTTTGAAATATGAATATCCTAAAATTTTGCGTGGTTGTTTCACAAACGTTCTACCTATTACCATTGAATTAAAAGTACACTTTTTAAGTTGGAACGTACATATTTTGCATTAATATATACCGCAAATAATTAAGTGAATTCTGCATGGTCACCAAACTTCGGCTAAACATTTAAAGAAATCATATCTAAACACTGGTTTTTTAGGTAAAAAAATGCCTGTGACAAGACTTAAGAAATTCAGAAACGGCAGTAAACTCAGAATTTCAACGAACTAAATTTTCAAATCTCAATAAAGAAAGCGGACTTACGATGTATTTACAAAACCTACTTTTTTAATAAAAATGAAACATCTGTTAAATCAGAAACGCGTTTATGCCCAGAGGTTCCTTTGCCTAAGAAAGATATGGTTTATGTACATAGTAGATGTCTATAGGTCGTAGCATCCAGTTACCATATCAGTTACGTTTCGAAAAATGTAATAAAATAAATTACACCCCAATTATTACAAATAGAAACGTTTCGAAAAATGTAATAAAATAAATTATACCCCAATTATTTTAAAGGAACTAAATAAATTTAAGTCTCAATCAAACTGGTCCCTAAAGTCCTCCAAAATTATGTACTCAGTAAGTACCGAGACGCGGTAGCTTAGATGGTAAGCGCTCGCTGTAAATTTTACAGTGCGCGAGCAACCCGGATTCGATCGCCGTCGGCAATTTACCACGTGCTCGGCGGGGAAGAAAAACATCGTGAGGAAACCTGAAATGTCTGAGAAATAAAAAAAATATTTCGAAGACCTGTGAAGTTCGCCATCACGCATTGAGGCAGCGCAGCGGACACTTCCTTGCCCAAAACCCCCCTCAGAAATGAGAAAAGGCCTGTGCCCAGCCGTGGGACGTATATAGGCTGTAACTTTAACCTTTAACTTTCAAGTAAGCATCAACAATATGAAACATCAAAGCTGCGTTCAAGTTTAGTAGTAGTGGAACCTGGACGTAGATTTTATTAAAGCGATGGCGTAGCTTTGTTGACTTTTAAAAAGTATATTGTAAATGTCAATTTCAATAACATAATTTTGACTTTGACTTTGACAGACTAGCTGGTGAGCACAAATACCAATAGTCTCGCAAAGGTAACGTTTACCTTACCTCACCAGTTTTGAGAGATTTGGTATACTAAAGGATAATAATGTCTTCCTGAACGAATTTCTGTAACGTAGTTTGTCCTAAATGAGACTAGCTTTCTGCGTAGTACATGATATAATACGAACACTATCTATTCCCTCATTCTCATAGTCAGATGAGACGCAAATCCGAGACGATCGGAAAGCGATTAGGCGCAAGAACAACGGCTTTACGTGCTTTCCGAGGCATGGGTGTGAAACACCGCCAACTTCCGGCTACAGGCCTTACTGAGAGTTTCTTGATAGTACAGCAATTTGCATGGCAAAGGGCATGCATCTGCAATTCCTCTGATGTTGCAGATGTTCATGAGCGAGGGTCATTACTTATCTGGCGAGTTGTGTGCTCACTTGCCTGCTCTTCTCTATTAAAAGGAAAAATCTATCGGAGCTTCGTTCGTCAATTTGCAGAGTCCAACACGAGTAAGTCATGACACCATAAAATTATAGTTTTTAATTAACCAACACAATAAAGTAGGTTTTAATCACGCTAATCGGCAATTTAATATAAATAAAGTGGCGGTAAATTATGAGGTACAACTTACAACCCACCTGCCCCAATGTACTCTCAGCCCTCCCACTCCACGCTCCCTCCACCCCTCAGTTCCGCGACGCACCTGTAACGCTAAAATTACTCCACGATATTTATGAATCAAACGCGATCGCTGCTGCTACGACTAATTGAGTTTCTGCTGAACTAATGGGCGCCATTTAATCTTCTACTGAGCAATCATTTGAATGATTCTTAACTTACTGATGAGGCGATAAGTTTAGTTAGGTCTGTTTGTGAACACTCCTTGAAGGAACCTGAGAATGACTGCAGTTTTATAGCATCAAAAATTTAAGTGAGAAACGTGTTTGCGATCGAACTGTTTCTAATTATAGTACACGCTAGCTTACAATCTAGGCTTTGTAAGTTGCTACTGTAGCTTATTAAACATCAACATCTGAACACAGCTTCAAAAATGACTTCTTATATTAACGTGTATATATATATATATATATATATATATATATATATATATATATATATATTTACGTTGAGTAAAACTATTTTTACGGATCGCGTTTTATTTGCTTATTTTTAATTCCCGACGTTTCCCGACAACGTGACCATGGGTGCTATAGAGCCCCCGAAACGTTTAATTCCAACAATAAGTCAATTAAACGCAATAAAATCCTTAAAAATAGTTTTATTTAACAACTTCATAAATGGAGGCAACATGAGCGTCGTCATCCCTGATGGACTAATATGAAATGCCTCAAAAGGTTGGAGTTGTACTGATTTTCTATATACTTAAGACCAGAAAACTGCAGTAGTGCATTATTACTTGGAGACTAACACTCCCTTGGTAACCTAACCAGACTGATACCAAGGTAGAAGAGGAGTACCAGCTATAAGCGTTTGTCATACTTAAGGTTATTACAGTATCTCAACATAACGACAACGATATATTTCAATATTCTACTTATACCATTCTATTCATCAGTACATACTTTACGTCGTAAAAAAGGAAAATTTTTTTCTGTTACCTTGCGAAAAACAATTCATAGACCGTCTTTTTTTAAATTAGAAGCGAAATCTAGAATCATCAACATCATTACAACCCTTCACAAGGTCCCTGCTTAACAAAAGTCTTTCCAAAGGAATGCCATAAAACACATTCCTGTGCCACATGCATACATCGACTTCTTGCATATATTCCTAGGACGTCATTGCATCGAGTGGAATAACCTAGAATAAAAACTATTTAGTTCTATTCATAGCTTGTTAGAAAGGTATTGTTTTTACAAATGTTATTTGGACGGTGTTACGCAGAACGATCCAACCAAAGTTCGAGTCTAAATTTTATGTTAAAATAAACTAAAATAGAAAATGGCAGTCACTGCCAATGGTATGAATAAAATAATAAGCAAAACGAAGCAAGCCATCATTATTGTACACCAATTGTGAATTACCTTATAGCTGAGGGGAGAATATATTTGTATTTATTAAGTACATAAATCTATTATAATATTATCAAGATGAAGAGTATAGTTTTTTTATTTGTTACATTGATCGCATCAAGATTTTTGTAGGTTGATTTTTTTTCTGTGTAATTTTGCCATTTTTGTGTAAATATTGGTGTTGCATAATATATGAAAACCGGTTTTTTTTTTTTAATTTTCTTTATAAGCACTTAAGCGCACTACTTAAGCACACAGTCCACCTGATGGTAAGTGGATGCTGTGGTCCATAGACATCTACATTTATCCTCGATTAAGAATCAAAACGCAGATGCGTTGTCACCCCTGAGGACTAAGATAGAATGCCTCGTTTCCAGTAAAAAATGGTCTCCAGATCTTTACACTCACCATACGATACACATCAGTATTAAGCTGCTATTTTACGCTGGTATTCCGTGAGAACATGGTCCTTTCACGACACATTCGTGCTAAACATCCATTATATAACTGCGGCGTGGCATTATAAATATCGTTTACATTAACCATATAACAAAAAGTAGATTTTTTTAAACTGTAATCTGTTCTGATAACACTGGCTATAATATAAATGTTATGGTTAAAATTTGACAACATATAGCAAATTTTATAAAGATTATGGCGCCGCGGTCCGACTATGCGATCTCTTGAGTTAGTAGCACTATTATTAAAGCGTAGCTTAAGGGGATATAGAAAGTCAGCTCAAATTCTAATTTCGTCCCCACTTCCCCGCGCGTCGTATGCTATGTACCGACATGTTTGTAGGCACTAATACTGTAAGTAGATAGGTCATTAGATACTTAATGATTTCTTATATTTACGAGAACACATTGAAATAATACTAGTTTTTAAGGAATTTATCGCGTATATTTAACTTTTTAAATACCCGACGTTTCGAACGCTTTACAGCACTCATGGTCACGGGCGGGACGTTCAACGTCCAGATGTCATAGTTAACCCCGGTTACCATAGATTAAAATTTAACTTTTGTTCCGATCTACACAGTATGAACTTATGGTATCTTGAAGTCTTGCAGTTGTATGCTTGGGTTGGGATTTAATTTTATTTATTATAGGATCCCAAGCAGATGGTAGCACCAAGCCATCTTCTCTATTGAAATTAGGATGTTTTTTGATTTCAATAGCCTCGCGAATCATCCTTGGAAGGAATCGGTGTTCTTTAGCGAGGATTTGTGGTCTATCAAATCTGATGTAGTGACGGGGGGTGATCCTGTACGTGTTCACAGACTGCAGACTTCCCGGAGCGTCGATTCTTCACATCAGCTATATGTTCTTTAACGCGGGTTTTGATTGATCTATTAGTTTGTCCTATGTAGGAGAGACCACATTCACAATCAAGCTTGTACACTCCTGCATCTTGCAGAGGGACATTACACTTGACTCATGGTAAAAACTGACCAATCTTCTTCAGCGGCTTGAAGTATGTTTTGATGGAAGCGCGCTTCAAGATGTAGCCAATCTTGTCAGTGACTCCTCTAACATATGGCAGTACAGCAGCTACTCGCTCGACTGTGGCCGGCTTCACTCGTTCACAGTGACGTAGGCGCGGGACCCAATCTTCCCAAAGACGTATTTATAGCGTTAAAGAACCTACTCATAAACCAGAACTTACGATTCTCCGCGCAGATAATGGAAACACCACGGTAGTCATGGATACGTCAGATTATAATTCTAAAATACAAGAACTTATGTCGGATGTAAGTACTTATAGAAAGGTTAAAAACGACCCAACAAATAGCAGATTAAAATAACCAGTGACCTCATAAATAAACACTCCGAAATTATCCGGTATTTAAAAAATTAAATATACGCGATAAATTCCGTAAAAACTAGTATTATTTCAACGTTAGATACTTATTTCATTAGGTTTATCATATTTATGCCCGTTTCTTTACGCCAACCCAGTCGCTCCTTATTTTTATTACGGTTATTTCCCATATCAATTTTACGTCGTCCTGTTGCGTAATGTGTATTCTGATTGTAAGCGACATAGCTACCCCCTTTGAAAGCCGAAGCAAGACTGATGGAGACTGATCGGGCGGCAGGAAACATGCTTCAAGACGCCGATAGTTTAGGTAATTTCTTTTTACAGTGAAAATAATGGTAATTTAAAAAAAATTACACAAGCCCTGCTTAATAGAGTTCAGTTAGAATGCAAAGTTTCATGATCTAATTTAAAGTATTTTATGAATACCAGCGGTTTTTATTTCAGTTTCGAGAAAATTTTACGGAATCGTGTTTTCGTCTAACATAGTACTTAATATTAATACT